GGCCTGCATGACCCTGAAAGTTTAGAAACACCTTTCAGAAGATCAGAAGGCTTCTGTTCTACAGTCAGTGACCCAAGCATAGAAATTACTCTCCCCCCAAATTATTTCAGCTTGTTCTTTCCACAACTAGGAAGTGGAAATTAACTCATTTTTTTCCCTGTGGGAACCACCAGTCTTTCACCTTTCCATTCTCCCTTCCAGAGTGACTTTCCAGTGGAAACATCTATAAACAATCCACTAAAATTACCAAGGCATTACACGTTGAAATCTAGCACTAGGCCAAAAAAAGGGTACTTCTTCACCCCCAAAACGTTTTGTTAATTATACCACCTAATCCTTTCTTCTGTCCTTTATTTTCTTGAAAATGGACTGTGACTGATGTAGACAGATATTTGTAACTGAAAAAGTGCAGAGGGGTACATATACCGTGTTTCCCCGAAAATAAGACACTGTCTTATATTTATTTTTTCTCAAGAAGACACACTAGAGCTTATACCACAAATGCATAGAAATCCTGCTAGGGCTTATTTTTGGGGTAGGTCTTATTTTCAGGGAAACAGGGTATCCATCAATGCTGATACAATGTACCAGTCGCTTTTTCACAAACGTATCAACACATCACTCTGGTTTGCACATAACTGTGTTGCAGAAAAAACAATTACCTGTTTATTTACAATGTTTGTATGTCACTTTTCTCCCTCAAGAAACAATACAATTAAATAAACAAAAGAGACCTATCCTGTGCTGGTCCTGATCCACACGGCTGCCTAACACAGGCCTTGGGCTAAAAAGGACATGTAAACCTTCAGACAAATGTTGGAATTGAAACAAGGTTAAAAATCTCAACCATATTCAGGATGAAGGTACAAGCTTAGCAACAAATAATGTGTGGCAGAAATTGTATTTTTAATCAACATTTGGGCCAGCCATAACTGTAAGTACTCATGGAGTGCATGGTGTGTAGAAGGTACCAAGTCCTAAAGTCAGCAGTGGAAGAGCAATTTTTATATATATATATAGCTCTGACACAGCATAAGAATCAGTTGCTCAGGATGGGGATGCACATGCAGAAAGCTACTTCTGTACAGTGTTCTTCCCCACTGGACTGATCCCCAAGTCAAGCGGGTCTGGCTCTACACACTGTGACCCAGGACTGCAATTCCAAAGTTAAGATCTGCAGACACACTTGGCCTATGGTCTTCTACTGCAAGGCCCAGAAACATTGAAGAACACTTTCTGATAGTGGCTCACGAGAGCTGACAAGCTCTTGATTCACACTTAAGACTATTTAGATTGGCTCAGCACGAGTATCAAGAGGAAGACATTATTACTAAATGCTGTTAAATTTTCTGAACATTGATCCACTAACTAGTTAAACCAGGATGCATAAGGTTGTTTCAAGAGGTCTTAAGCAGAAATCTTAACAAAACTTATTGGGGAATAAGGCCCCTTCAACACAGTGGGCCTTACACTTCTGAGAAACACAAACTGCATATATTCAGTTTTGCTAGTTTAAGGATCAGTCTCAAGGCCAACTGATAGTGAACAATGTAGTGGCTCACGAGAGCCGACAAGCTCTTGATTCACACTTAAGACTATTTAGATTGGCTCAGCACCACGAGTATCAAGAGGAAGACATTATTACTAAATGCTGTTAAATTTTCTGAACATTGATCCACTAACTAGTTAAACCAGGATGCATAAGGTTGTTTCAAGAGGTCTTAAGCAGAAATCTTAACAAAACGTATTGGGGAATAAGGCCCATTGAGAAACACAAACTGCATATATTCAGTTTTGCTAGTTTAAGGATCAGTCTCAAGGCCAACTGATAGTGAACAGTGTTATATATTCTATGGCTGCATGACAAACTGGTGTCTCATTGTGTTTTAAAAATATTTTCACCTCTGAAAGAGAGAGCTCCCAGTAGCACAAAAGGAGCCTTGGTTGGCTCAAAGGCAACAATAAGAAATACTACCTATCGGCGTGCACATGCTGCAGATATGTTACACATGGCTGACAAAGTGCTGATAAAGCATTTGCACTGTACAAGCTGAAAAAGGGCATGAGAAAAAAATTAATTTTCATGGCCCTTCAGAAAGCACTCAACATGCAACTGCACAGGGAGGTGCTTATCCAGAAACTGGGGGGGAGGAGAAGAGAGTAAACCTTAAAAAAATGACTACAGGGAAAGAATCTTTATAGAGTCAATGGCCTATGATTCAGAATTGATGCAACTCCACTAAAATCAGCTGTGCAAATGCTGTGATTAGAAAGTCTGAGATGAGAAAACACACACAGCATAGAACATTTCAGAAACAACCAATTTATATGGCACACAAACCATTCACTAATTGCTCTTTCTGGAGCAACTGGAATTACAGACCATTGTTACATCTGAAGATTAAGAAGCAGAGAATCTGGACCAATTTGTATTCAAAAATCATATCAAATCTTCCCCAGCCCCATCGTGGACAAAATGAGATTTTTAGGGCATACAAAGCTTCTTTTTTTTCCATAGCTCTCTTACATCTTAAAACCGTGCTACATCATTACTCTGTATTCTTTATACATTTTGACCTGCCACTCCTGCTCTCTTTTCCTAAAGCACCATAAAATACAACATAGTAATACAGCATTTTGCTCAGGGGTTAATGCAAAATCTGAACCACCACGGAGAACCTTAATGAATTTGTTGATGGAATTTTGCTGCATTATACGATGAGGCTGCTGGTTCAATCCTAGCTTCCAGCGTGGGGGTGTTTTGTGTGGGTGGGCTTTTTTGCAGGGGTTATTTTCATTTTCCACTGGTACCAGCTGAAACACAGTGTACTAACACTGTAGATCTAACTGCAGGCTATTTGGGTACTTAAAAACATAGACAGTTTTTGTTTAATATCAGCCATGGTCAAATATTTCATTCTAGAGAAAGGTGGTCGAACAGGTGGTGGATGGACGACTTCAAGCATTCCTGGATGAAGCAGAGTGTCTGGATCTTTTCCAATCTGTTTTAGCTCATGATAGAACTGGAACAGCCTTGGTCACCCTAGTGCCTGTGCCAGGAGACAAACAATCTGTTGATTCTCCTGAACCTCTCAGTGGCTTTCAATACCATCACTTGTAGTATCCTTCTGGACCACCTCTCCAGACTGCGACTGGGAGGCACCATTTTAAAGTGGTTCCAGAACTACCTGGAGCGTAGGTTTCAGAAGATGGTGCTGGGGGACTGCTGCTCAGCCCCTTGCCTTAGGGCTACGGGATCCCACAAGAATTTCTTTTGTCCCCTATGCTTTTCAACATGTACATGAAACTGCTCAGTGAGGTCATCGGAAAAACCAGACTGGGTCATCACCAGTACATGAATAAAGCACATCTTTATCTTGCACTTCCAGCCGATCCCAGGGAGGCTGTTGAAACCCTGAACTGGTGTCTGGAGGCAGTTCTGGAGTGGATGTGGGCAAATAAACTGAAGCTTAACCCCAATGAGACAGACGTGCCACTGGTGAGCAGAAAGACTTACCTGAAACTTAAGGTGTTACCCATTCTGGATGGGCTTGCACTTCCATTGAAGGAACAGGTTCATCTGAGGGTGTTTTTGGACCCAGCCTACTACTGGACATGCAGGTGGCAGCTGTGGCCAGGAGCGCCTTTTACCAGAAAAGATCTGGCCACTATGGTGTATGCCTTGGTTACATCCAGATTAGATTACACCAGTGCATATTACGTGGGGCTGCCAGGATGTTGACTGGAGTGGGTCATAAGGACCATATCACTGTAGTCTTGGTCCAACCACCCTGGTTCCCAATCTGTTTCCAGGCACAATTCAAGAAGCTGGTGTTGACCTTCATAGTTTGGAACTAGCATACCTGAAACACTACCTACTCCCTTGCAAACCTACCCAAGCACTACAGTCATCTGAGATCATGCTTCAGGTGCCCCTGCCTTTGAAATTAGAAGAAAAGAGATTAGATTTATACCCTGCCCTGCACTCGGAGTCTCAGAGTGGCTCACAAAGTCCTTTCCCTTCCCCACCCCACAACAGACACTCTGTGAAGTAGGTGGGGCTGAGAGAGCTCTGAGAGAACAGCTCTGACAGAACTATGGCTTGCCCAAGGTCATCCAGCAGCTGCAAGTGGAGGGGTGGAGAATCAATCCCGGTTCTCCCAGATTACAGTCTGCATACTTAACCACTACACCAAATTAGGCAGTTGGCAACCCAGGCCTTCTCAGTCATGGCACCTAAACTTTGGAACTCTCTCGCAAGTCACACTGGCCTGTCCCTTTCTGTCACCATTTTTCACTAGCAGGATAAGATGTTTTTGTTTCATCTAGTGTTCCCTAGTGATCCCTCCTTCCTGCCCTATGTTTGGTTTTATGTATGTGTACAGAAAACTGCAGCTGCATGCTTTTTACTCAGTAAAAACCACTAATACCACAGGTTCAGATGGATAGCCGTGTTTGGTCTGAAGCAACACAACAAAGTGTGAGTCCAATGGCACCTTTAAGGCCAAGAAAGTTTTATTCTGGCTAGGAGCTTTCGCGTGCACGCACATTTCATCCGATACTTTGTTCCACGGATACCATAGCTGAAGATTACTGGAGACGACAGCCTTCCCAAATCCTTTCTCCACCCCCCACCCCCCCTTGTGTTATCAACCCACAGAGGCAGGCTGGCCATCGAGCGCAGTGGGAGAAATCCTACTCGGCTGCTGGTGTGCAGCGCAGCAACTTCTTCCCCTCCAGCCTGCTCTTCAGCCCCCAAGCAGGAGACCTTTCCGTGTCAGGAGGCGCCACGCCGCCGCTCCTCCCGCACCTCCCGGGCAGCGTGCATGACAGGCAAGTGCCCCTCCTCCCCACCCGTAACCCAGGGGGGCTTCTCTCAACCCCCGTGTCTTCCACGCCGACTCACCCCCACCGGGCTACGCGGGAGGGGCAGGCCAATGCTCGCGCTCCGCCCCTTCTAGTCCCCACCGGCGAAACCCCTGTGAGGGAGCAGCGCGTACCGCTCTGTGCACTGAGAGCGTGACAGCTGAGAGACGCTTCCGCGGAGAACGCGCCTACCGCCTTTCCGGAAGCTCCTCCTTCACGACACAGTTGACGTTACGGCCGGCTGGCGACTGTCGCCCCTCACAAGTGGGCATTCCCCCCCCCCACAAAGCAATGGCGGCTCAGAAGACACCACGTGACGGTCCCCACGCCCTCTGAAGTTGGCCTCTCTAGGCGGCGCAGTATCCTCTATGGTCTTCCCTTAGGCATAGAAGCGGAGCTGGGAGGGAAACGGGTTTCCCCGTCCTCCTCTTCCTACTTCCGGTGGGCTGGTGAGTGGATCTTTTCGGGAAGAAAGGGGGATGGGGGAGAGCGGAGGCCTCCCTTGGGCTGGGAGGAGGCAAGGAGGGGTTGGAAAAGGGTTGCCCGAACAGTCACCCCCCCCCGTTCCCGGGAAAATGTCGAAGTGGATAACCCACCCCCCATCTTGGTAGGGACGTTTTGCCTCCCCTGCCCCCACTACCTTCGCCTCCTTCCTTTGCCTGTGTTCCTTCCCCTTGTCTAAAAACCTACGTTGTTGCCTCCTGGTTTTCTCTCTGAGGCCAGGAAACCTCGCTTCTCTTAACGGAGGCAGGACGTTTCCCTCATCTGGTGGAGATCTTCCTGTCTTACTTTCATCTTCACTTTTTCTAAAATGGCCAAGCTTTCGTCTCCTCCGGCTTCTTTTCCACTGCTTTTGACAGATGGAGCTCTTAACGTTACACAGGCACGGTAGTGATGAAGCAGGAGTTCAACAGGTGCAAGTGTCTCATGTTAAAAAAAAACCCGTTATAATATTGCTCTCGAATCTAGGTACAAATCCGTACTCAGCCACCAAAGCTCCCTAAGTGACCTTAGGCCAGGCATACTGTCTACTTTGTCTCACAAGGTTCTTGTGATGATAAAATGGAGTAGGAAATGATGGATGTTGCCATGAGTTCTTTGGAGGAAAGACAGGATAAAACTGCACAAAATTCAGTTGCTTAAAGCTGCAGAGCTGGTGTGTGTGGAAATGAGAGCAATGCTGATTAACCCTGGGAGCCAAGGCTGCAAGTAGTGCTAAGGAGATAACATCTCTTCCTCCCCCCAAGCTGCTATGATCCTATTTATTAGAACGCCACTGAAAGAAAGGAAAATTCAGTCCTTGCTCATCTTACCTGTATGACAAGTTGCTGAGGAGTAACATATTCATGTCCAAGGGATCTTAGGTGCTTGTTTCAGTTTTTCCTACCAGGTAGTGGGGGTCAGATTCACCCCTGGAAGGCTGTGTGGTAACTCTGAGCATACCTGGTGACAACTCTTGTGGTACAGTTTGTATTCTTGTTATGCACACCTTTCTGGGAGTAAGCCCCATTGGTCAAATTGGGACTTCTGAATACACATGCATAAGACTGCAGAGCTGTTGAGTTCACATCCTCCTAAACAGAAGTTCTTTCAGCTGCAGCACAGCTACTGAACAGGGCTTAATCTCAAACTTCAGTTTGAAGGGCAGACTGGATATCGAGAGTAGACAGTGTGATTGTTGTGGAGAAGTGTGTCCTGTGCAGGGGCTGGGATTCACTGCACTACACATTTTTCCATGCAGATATGCTCCAGGAATGAGTACATGGGGATCCTGTGATGCAAAAATTGGCCCTCGGCAATGTTCCCTCTAAGCTGTGGAGTCTTGTGAGCAAAAATTCTCCTTTGTGGGCTACTGGCATTAAAGTTGTGAGTGAGCAATTTGGCGACTGCATAAATTAGCTGGCTCTTGAGACGCCCTTCCTGAGCTAAGACAAAAATGTGTGAGCTGGAGTCTAAAAACCGGTGAGCTAGCTCACACTAACTCAGCTTATAGGGAACACTGGCCCTCAGTGTAAAGATGCCAAAGACTTGTGAGTTACTATGGCTATAAAGAGGTGCATGGTTAATTAATTATATTTTTTTGCTGAACAGCTACTGTTCTTCCTGATATTTTGCCTGAACTATTAGGGTCTAATACTTGCACTAACCTCACCAAATATTGTTCTTCTGACATCTGGATTCCAGAGACTAGGTGTCCTAAAATTATGACTTTACATATAAACCTGATGTCCTTAACAACTGTTCCATAGGGAAGTGCCTAAGGTGTGGTGTTTGTACACCATTGTAATGTTATGATTCCCACTTCTCCTGTTCTCCTCCAGCAGCTAATAGGATCACAGGGACCATTCCCATGCCAATATTGGATTTTCCTGGAAGTCTCTTGCTAATGAAGCATTGGCTTGTAGAAGTACTTTGTTTTTCACTCCAAATATTAAGTTCAGATGTTAATTTTTTGGAACTGTATCTTTAGCAAGTGTCGCTTGATATCCTTGTTAGAATTTATGTAATCAGAAATTACTGTATTTTCCTTTAGCTTTCCATTACAACTGTGTACAGTCCCGTGGTGTTAAACTGGAGCTTCTTAGTCTCCTAGGTAAGTGTGCAGCCATGTGATACAAACTATCATTATTAGTATGTTTTACAAGTGGGGACCTGCAAGAAACATGTGGGAGCAGCTATCCCATTCCTCCCACCTCTGCTTTGTCCCCTCTCCCCCTACTTTTATCACCCTCTTTCTCCTTCCTGCCACCCCTTTTCTTCTATCTTTCCTCCATGCCTGTCACTTCCTTTCTGCCCCCACCAAGTCACTCTCCCAGCCTCCCACCCACTTCCTCGCCCCTGCCCACAGCAGCACTGGTGATCAGTTCCTCTTAGGGCTGCCAGCTCCATGTTGGGAAATTCCTGGATATTTGGGGGTGGAGCCTTGGAAGGATTTCGTTTGAGCTTGGAAGTGACCTCAGTAGGATTTAATACCCTAAACTCCACCTTTCAAAGCACCCATTTTCTCCAGGGGAACTGATCTCTGTTGTAATTCCAGATCTCCAGCCCTCAGCTGGAAGTTGGCAGGATTAGTTCCCCTGGAGGAAATTACTGCTTTGGAGGGTGGAGCTTATGGCATCATATCTGTCTGAAGTCCCTCCCAGCCTTAATCCCCACCATCCTCAGACTCCACCCCACAAATATCCAGGAATTTCCCAACCTGGAGTTGGCATCCCAATCTCCTTCTCACCCAACAGCCAACCTACCTTTATCTGCCCCTCTGTCTTCAGCTTTCTGTCTCCTTTTCCCCTGTAGTTTCTACTGAGGAAAACTATGCTCTTTCTCCACAGTGGGGACTAAAGCAGTCATTATTCTCTCCTCCTTTTTATCCACACAACAACCCTATGAGGCAGGTTAGGCTGAATGTACATCACTGATCCAAAATCACCCAGTGAGCTTCCACAACAAGATGGGGGTCTAAACCTGGGTCTTGCAAACCCTACTCTGAAGCTCTGACCATTATACTACACTAATTTTCACTGGGTGTTGAACAGTAGCAAGCAGCCAGGCAGAAATACATATCTGCATATAGAGGGGATTGTTGAGAATATAGATATGTGTGAGAGACACATGAAGAGAATAGAAGCTGAGATGGAGGTTTTCTGCAATCTTAGTGAAAGGACTTGAGGAGATGGTAGATGAGCTCAGCAGAAGTTTTCTGCATAATTTGGAGGAAATTCTGGCAAAGATATAACATATTCCTGATACCGTATGACCAAAGATCCTGATTCAGCTGTAGTCACATTTCAAACTGAGACAGGCTTCCCAAACTGCATCAAGAGGCATCCAGCCAATTCAGTAGGACTTAGGTGAGCCTCACTGTATGGATGGGAAATGTACCACTGACATAAGTAGTAAGTGACAAATACCGTGTTCAAAGGGCTGCCATTCCTCTCCTTTAATCCCTGGGAAAATGTGTTCTGATGACAAGGGCTGTCATCGCTATTTATTCTGAAATGAAGACACTCTTTATACTGCAGTTTGTGCCTGAAAAGAGGTGTGGCATCACAACACTTATATAGCATGTATAGACTGTAAGCTTTTGTGTGACTAAAAGTATCCTTTCTTTTCTTTTTGGAGGATTTTCCCCTACTCGGTGGCAGAAAAGATGCTTGACAACATCAAATCCTGGGCTGAGTACATTGTGGAATGGGCTGCAAAGGACCCATATGGATTTCTAACCACAGTGATCCTGGCTCTCACCCCCTTATTCTTAGCAAGTGCAGTACTGTCATGGAAACTGGCAAAAATGATTGAAGTCAGGGAGCGAGAACAAAAGAAGAAACAAAAACGCCAGGAAAATATTGCTAAAGCTAAACGAACAAAGAAGGACTAAAATGGTAACCTACTGGACAGAATCCTCTCCTTTTCTAAACAGAGCTAAACGGTTCTGACGTTTTGTACTTTTTTGTTGTAAATTTTAGAGATTATGTGCAGAAACCTAAGAACTCCAGAAATGTGTTTAATTTGTGTCAAAGTTTAATTTTAATAGGTTTAAGTAGTTTTGTCCTGGGACATGTTTTCTAATTTGGGATCTATTTGTAAGGTACAGTAAGTACATCCGTACAGCATACTCAAAAATATTAAGTGATTGATGATTAAAGACCTAACAACTCAAAATTTTATATGGAAAATATGCACTGTCTTTTTCTACAATGATTTGTAGTACAGCTTACTCCTGCATTCTGCAACCCATTGTAGGTTGTCCGTAAATGTACTATTTCTGTGGTATGCTAGGAGCTTGTGTGTGGAGAATACTGTGGGTAGAGAAGGTAAAACTTTACTATAGTTGCTGAAGTTCAGGATTTATTGCCCCAATGCAGGATTTATTTTTCTTACATAGGAGGGGGCCATGGCTCCATGATACAGCATCCGCTTGAGGTGCTGAAGGTCCCAGGCTAACCCCATCCCCAGTTAAAAGGATTTGGTCATAGAGCAGACCCTGGACAACCACTGCCAGTCACAGTAGACAGCACTGACCTTGACAGATCAGAGGCCTCATGGAGTATAAAGCAGCCTCTTGCATTTGTAGTTGTGTGGTTTTGTTAAGATGGTGAAAAGAAGGCTGGGTTGGCATTTGTCTGAAACAACCATGCCTGGGGAGGTACAAGTCTGTTTTCAAACAAGGATACTAATATTTGTACATAAACAGGATAGCAAAGGTTAGAACTAACACAATTACTTTGAATCCTTGTTGGTTTAGCCTGTGGAATCAAAGCGGCTTTTTTCATAGCTTTGAGTATGGGGCATGCACAACAGCCTAAAAACTGTTATACTTCTAGCAGAATTGTAACACATTCTCCAAAGGGTGCAGGGAGTTGAGTTACAAGCCTACTGCAGCGGATTACTATTGTGCATGGAGGAAGTTAAATCACTTTCCCCTGTTATTGAGAGTGGTTCATGTGCTGCCAGCTGCCAGGTTACTCCCACTGCTAGGTAGGTAAAGGTAAAGGTTTCCCTTGCTCGAAAGCCAGTCGAATCCGACTCTAGGGATGTGGTGCTCATCTCCGTTTCCGAGCCAAAGAGCCAGCGCTGTCCAAAGACATTTCCGTGGTCCCACTCCTACTTGCATCTAAATGGAAAAAGCCTGGTAGCTTGAGTATTTTTCTAGTACAAGTTAAAGGATCTATTCCAACCCTCAAACAGCATTTGCCCTTATGCATAGTATATCATTCAGCCAACTGTACTATCAGAACAAATTTCAGGACTCAGTTTAATCCTTGCATTAAATAGTAGAATCTAACAGCCTTGCCTTTTTTTTTTTTTACTAAAAATCAAATTATCCAGTAAGCCAATAAGCTGCAGTGTATGAAACCTGAGCATCTGTTCTAAACATGCTACTTAACTTTCTTCATGCATAAATTCATATTTAGATACATTGTAGAGTGGATTGTTGTTGCTGAAATGGTTCATACAATTCCTGACATTTTGCAACTGCCCCTCATTTTTTACGTTCATGATCCTGCGGGGGTTTCCAGGACCCAGGTTGAAAAGTATTCGCCGTGCTGACTGGGTCTTCTGAGGGTTCACGGTTTCCGTAATGCTGAGCAGCCGCGTGGCCTTTAATCTTGATTTGGGCTGGTTCTGCCACGAGTCCCTCTTCATACTCTTTGGCCTGTAGGAGTCTGTCCTTCTCATAACACTCGTCCACCCTGCTTTTTAATTCTACTCGGTATTCCTCATTCTTAAGAATTTCCTGTGGATGCACAACAATGCCTTTAAGTGGTTACAAGCAGCAAAGACCGACCTAAACACAATTAACACATTTAAGTCCAATTTAAAGCTATTCTGAAATAATTTTCTTTAGGAGAACTGATCTGTATAATTATTTAAATGCCAACCCAAGTTTCCAAACAATTTTTATTTACATATATCGTCTGCCTTTCTCACTGAGATTCAAAGTGGATTGCACTGTGTAAGTGAATGCTGTCAACAATATGATACATCTAATATGCAATGAAAAAAGGACTACGAATTAAACACAGAATAAGTATTAAGCATGACACATTCAGCAATAAAAAAAAAGTATTACATCCGTAAAAATACAGTGCATTTTTCTGGATTTCTGTTAGGATTTAGCCCTATTTCCTTTATAAGAATGCCCTCCTAAACAATTCTGTTTTAAGTGGTTTGTGAAACGTCAGGAGCATGGGAACCTCCCTGACCTCAGGCAGGCCATTCCAGAGGGAGTGGGCCACAACAGAGAAGGCCCTGGTCTTGTGCTTCAGTAAATAAAGATCTTTCCCCTCAGATCTCAACCTGTGTTCAGATGTCTTGCCCAAATCCCCTCCCTGCTTCTCCATGCTTACACCAGAAACCCCTGATTGGGCTGAAGTCAGCAAGCAGGGGAGGAAGAGCAGGTGTTAAAGTGATTCCAAAACGCTTTTCCTATACAATAATAATGTTCATAAATAATGTATATCAAACAAAACAAAAATTCAAGCACCTTGACCTGGATAAGCCCGGGCCAGCCCAATCTCGTCAGATCTCGGAATCTCAGCAGGCCCAACCCTGGCACGTACTTGGATGGGAGACCTCCAAGGAATACCAGGGCCTTGGAGGCAGAGGCAGGCCATCAAACCACTTCTCTCCACATCCTCCATGCCCCAGTAATCCTGCCTAGGATTCATGAGCCTGCAATCTAGAAGCCGCACAAAGTTCTTTCGTGGCACCTCTACGACTGGGTTTTTATGCTAGGCCAGATACGGAGAAAGGAACGCAACAGTTTTAGTGACGGCAGTGGGATTAGCAAGGGAGGTGGCCAAATTCCAGCCACTTGAAAATACTTTGCTACAATAACAGCGCCGTGATTGAGAAAAAGAACATTAAAAATGGAATCCTTACGATGGTTCTGCCACTCTAAGTAGTGAAAGCAAACATGAGAAGGACCAGGAGACACCTGCCCACCTCTACAGAATCAAGAAGTGCAGCCAGTTTGTGGTGGCACCCATGACCCCTTCTTAAAATCTGAAAACTGCCCACAGGCACAACGAAGCTATAGATTTTTTTTGGTTTGTTTCTGGGCCTTCACAACACTACAGTGCACACACAGTTCCTCGTGTACCCCCGACTTGTAATAATACAAAGCCTATAAAAAAATTTCTTCACCTAGCACTTAATGCTCAGACAGCTCGGTGCAATGGAAACCAATGAGGGGTTTCCGCAAACCGTGCAAAACTGAATTCTTCAAGAGGGCTTTCCTACACAGCCAATAGAATTGCACTGTACTAACTGATTCACAAGGTTACTTGGGATGACTTATTGGGGACTGTGGTCTGTACTACTGTGTTTAGCTTGCTGAAACGGGGGTCCTACTATGTAATGTTTGCATCATTTCATGTGTCATTTTAATGTTATAATTTGTTTCAGTTCTGGTTTTAGATTTTAGATTGATTCTACAAACCTAATCCTGTTGCACTGTTTACTAAATATCCCATTTTCTCTACTGTACTGACCCACTCTGTATAATCTGCCTTGAGCCCCAATGAGAAAGGCCGACTATCAATAACATAAATTAAACAGTAAAACATAGTAAGAGAAGAGATTGTATCTATACCCCGCCCTTCACTACCCAAGGGAGTCTCAGAGCGGCTTACAAACTCCTTTCCCTTCCCCTCCCCACAACAGACACCCTGTGAGGTAGGCGGGGCTGGGAGAGCTCTTGACAGAAACTGCTCTTTTTTCAAGAACATCTGTGCCAGAACTACGGCTTGCCCAAGGTCATCCAGCCAGGTGCAAGTGAAGGAGTGGGGAATCCAACTCGGTTCTCCCAGATTAGAGTCCGCGCACTAATAAATAAATAAAATAACCAAAACCACTCAACTACAAAGGTCCCATCTGTCGTTCTCATCCCACCTCACTTCTGCCAGTACAGGAGCACACAGCTGGGTCTCTGGCCGACCAAGATGCCTTTGTGGAAGAAGGCACATACCCTTGGGTCTCATGAGAGACATGATTCAAACCCAGGGTTTCCTGACTCAAAGCCTGAAGATATTCATAGAATCATAGACCAGCCTAAAGCATCTCTGACAAATATTCATCCAGCCTCTTCTAGAAAGCTGTCAGTGAAGGGGAGCTTACCACCTCCCTAGGCAGCCGATTCCACCTTTGAAGCACTCTGACCATGAAAAGTTTTCCCTAATATCCAGCCGATACCTTTCTGCATGTAATTTAAACCTGTTGCTTCGGGTCCTATCCTCTGCTGCCAACTGGAACAGCTCCTTGCCCTCCTCCAAATGACATCCTTTCAAATATTTAAAGAGAGCAGTCATTTCCCCCCTCAGTCTCCTCTTCTCCAAACTAAACATTCCCAAGGCCCTTAGCATTTCCTCATAGGGCTCAGTCTCCAGACCCCTGATCATCCCCATTGCTCTCTTCTGAACCCTCTCGATTTTGTCCACGTCCTTTTTGAAGTCAGACCTCCAGAACTGCACACAGTACTCAAGGTGCGGCCTGACCAAGGCAGTATACAGAGGGTCTATGACCTGTGATTTCGATGCTATGGTCTTTTTTATACAACCCAAGACTGGATTTGCCTTTTTTGCCACTGCATCACACTGACTGCTCATATTTAGTTTACAGTCCACTCTTACCCCAAGATATCTTGCACACACTACTCCCCAGAAACGTATCCCCCATCCAGTATTTGTGGTTGACATTTTTGTGGCCCAGATGTAATACTGTACATTTATCTTTCTTGAACTGCATCCTGTTTGCAACTGCCCACTTCTCCAGAGTATTCAGGTATTGTTGAATTGTAACCCTATCTTCTTGGGTGTTTGCTACTCCTCCCAATTTGGTAGCATCAGCAAATTTAATGAGTAGCCCTTCTACCCCTTCATCCAGATCATTGATGAAAATATTGAAAAGTACCGGGCCCAAAACCAAGCCCTGCAGCACCCCGCTGGACACCTCCCTCCGATCTGATGAAATGCCATTGACCGGCACTCTTTGGGTGCGGTCCTCTAACCAGTTCCCTATCCACCGAACTGTCCTATAGTCCAGTCCACAGTCTTCCAGTTTACCCATCAGAATGTCATGGGGAACCTTATCAAAAGCTTTACTGAAATCCAGGTAAATCACATTAACAGTTAGTAGTAGTGACAGCGCGCTGGAATCCTCAGCTGGTAAAGTCTCTCATTAACAGCACCAATCCAAAACAACCCAAGAATACATGTGAAATACAATATTTACTGCAATTGCTTACAAAAATTAAAGGACTTTCCACAATTTTAGTACATGGCCCAGACACATTGGGGGGGGGGAATGAAAAGGATCTTATAAAGAATACATCTTTCACAGAAGGAACAGTGAAGGAAATGATACATTGACCATGGATAATCAAGTGGCTATCTGCCAAATGTAAGCATAAAAAGGAAACCAAATTCCCATATCAAAACGAAATTGAGATTGCAGAGTAATGAATCTCCATTATCACAATGTAATAAACCTACTGAGCCTCTAATGCAAGGTGAAAACAATTCAATTGACTTCAATTAACTTTCTAATTTTTCTGGCATGCAAAGGTCAGGCCTGTAAGGAATATGGAGAGATGCAACAGAAGCCCCTCCTCTAAGGTTTGGACACCAGAGGGACGCTGAGGGGAAGATGACATTGACCAGAGAGTTAATGGAGGAGGAACACATGCTGGCAAAAAGATGCTCCTGGATAAGGTCTTACTGCATTTCATCTGGAAAGTTTAGTTCCTTGCTTGCATACTTTCATAGGAAAGGGGGGGGAGAGATACACTCCACAGCAGTTTATGGGAAAAGGTAGTTTGTGCAGGGCTTTCCCAGACAGAGGCAAGCTTGTTTGTATCAGCCAACCCTACTTCTGACCAATGCTCCCTCTAAGCTGTGGAGTCTTGTGTGCAAAAATTCTACTTTGTGAGCTACTAGCATTAAAGCTGTGAGCGAGCGATTTGGCTACTGCATAGATTAGTTCGCTCTGGAGCCCTCCTTCCTGAGCCGAGACGAAAATGTGTGAGCTGGAGGCTAGAAAACTGTGAGCTAGCTCACACTAACTCAGCTTAGAGGGAACATTGCTTCTGACTATCAACAGCTCCCCACCCACTAGCCTCATGGCTTTGATTTAGATCAGTGCGAAAATTCCTCAACAGCCTCAATACACATTGTGTCAACAGACCCCACACACACACACACAACTATACCCATTGCATGACCTGCTGAAGAAGACCAGTTAGCAGTGCAGTTCTTCAGCAAGCCAAGATGCATATGGGAAATGGGACAGGAGGGAATAATCCCTGAGAAGTATGGACATTAATCAGGGAGTCCATTAAACAGCATGGAAACTTAATGGTTATCTACTGGTGCAACTAGATTGTTCAGGTCCAGTAAAGAGCACACGCCCAGTCAGACTGTGGTTCTCTTCATGTGTTATGGAGCAGCACATGAAGTGCTTTAGTTTGGCTGTTTCCTATGCTGCTCCAGTAAAATGACTAGCAGAACCACATGGTTACATAGTGGAGATCAACATAATTCCTTCATACAGTAATTACTGGAAGCCACGTGCAAAACGCTGCTGCTGTAATATATAGGTTAGGTTCCCTGTGACGTTGAAAGAAAAACAACGTAAACCATTTTAATAATCCTTCCACTATATATTCTGCTAGAGGACACCAGAGGGACGTTTTAATTGACTCAACACCACAGCAGAAACATATACAAGGACCAATTG